TTTAAAGGGGAATTTATGCAAAGCACACTCCCGTTGCATAAGAGCGTATTTGCAATATCGACCCGGGCTATTTGTGTGCCCCTGTGGCTTATGCAGACCAGCTACGTACGTCTGCCGGCAAAGAGGTCAACGCCCCATGAGCGCCGTGAGCTCACCTCTCATCAAAACACACACGTCTCAGAGAAAAGATCTTATCTCCATCCCTCGATGCTGCCTAAAGGTTAATAAACTACAATGCGACCATTTTACAAGAGTGCCGGTTGCGCTAAGATTTTACCTCGCGAACGAGGACACGGATGCCGGGAAATCAAGTCAGTGCGGTCGGAAAGATCGCCCAAGAGGGAAGTTGACTTTTCGCTACCGAAACGTTTAAATTGTACTCGCGTTTTAATTCATGCTGGGACTACTCACCATTGGCTCTGATGCATTCTTCACATTTCCTAAACTAGTTCTCGATCACTCGGTAAAGAATGTTCGGCGGTATTGCAAAGGCCTGTTTCTGTACCTAGTGCCGTAATACTTCCGTGTGACGTTTTGACGCGAATATGCGATGTTTCAGGAATCCCCAAAGACGTCGGAGTCCTATCAGAGCGAACAGGTAAAAACACCACGTGCGGTAATTCTACCTCCATAAACGTCGTGTAAACAATGAAGAGAACTAAAGTAGTGTGTGTGGATGCGAAGTCCTGTTGGAAGTGACCGTAAATACGCTCTTCATGTTTCAACATTTGGAACAAAGGCTCCAGGATAGGATGCACATAACGGTTTAACAAGTTTTACGTATGTGCAAAACCCTTTCTGTTTGAGAGTGAACTTCAAATTTAGAGTGAGCCATCACAAACCATCACGTTTCACCAAGGCTGGAAAGCATGCCTTCTGCAGGGCGAGGCCTTGAGCAGAGTTCCCCGGCGATTGACGGCCCGTGATCGAGCAGAATGAGCCCTGATCGCGACACAACAATAAAATACTCGCACTGTATAAAAAAGCGGTGTATCTACAGGTTACCAGATGTATCTGGCCTGCGTCATTTGAATATATTTTGCCTTTATCAAGTTATTAGACAACAAAGTCTAAAATAAATAAATAAAATACAAGATTTTAAATTGAAGAAATTGTGACGTGTCACTCTCGGAGCTGACTAATTTCAGCGTTTTCCTGAGGTATTATTATGAAGTCAATTCGGCTATTAGGATAAATCGGTAACTTATTCAGTTGTGAGAAATCGAAGTTCTGAAAAAAGACACGTATATACTACGCAATTTTTAATACTAAAAAATAACCCTTTTAATTCAATCCGGAAGTCGACGAAGTAAAATGTCTCATATAAAAAGTAACGGACGCACTTATTTTTTGCGTCCTTGAACAAGATCGAATGAACTAGTATTTTGGTTGGTTGGTAATTTCGTGTTTCCGAGCGTGTCAACTTCTGTGGTCATTAATAATATAGTACATGTTTCATCACGATTCATAATGTAAGTGTAGTACATGTTTCAAGGCGAGAGTTGCCAGTATTCTCCCCCCCCCCTGAATGGTGATATCCTGCGTCTACCGGCACATCGCTTCGGCTTACTGGGTTTTCCCATCCAGATATCTCCCACTAGCGGGACACCACCCCAGTCGGGAGAAGCTCTAAGCTCTCGTCTGGTCTCCCGGCCAGTGTGGTAGTGAGGTGTATGTAAGCATGAGGAGGGGAAAGGATACAACAAGGAAGAGGAAGGAAAGATCGCGCGTGGTTCTTGGTCCGTCTGTCAGGCTCGGCCTCCGGCATTCTCCTTACGTTGATCGGAGAAACCGCGAAACATTACCGCTCTGATCAGCTGGCCTCCAGACGTCCCCTAAAGGCAGCGGTTGAATTCGACCTACTTATCTAGCTAGCGTAACCAAATCGTGCCTTTCTTGAGACTGGAAACCTAGGACCTTTCGGTCACAGGCTCTGCATGTATATCAGTTGCCCTCAGCCACATCAGCAAGTTACTAGGCAATCAAAACTGCACATATACAAATTAACACTGTACACATTTAAAAGGATCAATTTTTTTTTAATTTTGTAATATTCTAGGCTGCCTTTTTCAATAGTTCATGGCTAATAGTCTATTTCTTCAATCAAACTTCGACGTTTTTTATTTTACATCTTGAGAGTACATTAGAGCACAATATAAAGTGCAGAGATGTAACATCCAAGCAAAACGTCAAAAGGAACAATTGAGGTTTTCGTCATTTGCTGCGAGAATTCATTCGTAGACACGCGGAACGTTATGAAACATCAAGGAAACTGGATAGAGATGATGGCTGTTTTCAAAGTTCTTGCAATCCATCTACACCCATTCTTGCTAAGACGATCCATAGGATACATCTTTTTCTAAGCTGAATTATTGAGTCATCCCTCTGATGAAGGAAGCGTTGCAAGACATCGGAGTTCATGCAACAGGGTAGGTATAGTGATTAATGCGTATCTAACGTTCGTAGAAATGTCACTTACCCTCAAACTAATTCTTCCTCTATGAGAGAAGTGATAGGAAGTGCTATACCAACGGACAAGCGTTGATATTTAAAATTCAATCTCAACAATGGTGCCTTTTGTTGCCTTTCTGGGCTTTCAACTTTACAATTTTAGATAACACTAAGAGTTGGTCATTCTCATCAAATCATCCCTAAACACTAGAGCATTATAATGAGAGAAAATAATAAAATTTTAAGTAATGTACTAAAAGATGAGAACTGAAATATTTCTATACTTTTGTAGTAATATAATATACTTTTATTTCATTTATTATTATACATTTATATATTACATTTTTGTAAATCTGACAATTGTAAAGGGAGGGGTCATAAAAGGTGGGAACTGTACATTTGAGTGAATACGATTTTTGTTAAATTCGAAATTGTACGAATGAGAGAGGGGGTGAAATACGAAACTTTGCGTCAGTATAACGGTCCCAGCATCTGCGAGTTTTTGAAAGGAGGAAAAGTTCAATTAAAGTCGTCATTCGTCACAATTCTGATCTACGGATAGTTCAACCCCTACGAAATTCGGACACTCCGAAAAATCGACACCTACGAAATTCGCACATCATGACTGAGATGGGACCCCTTGAGACAACACGGTGGTCACTGTCGTGTCTCCAGGGTTCGAGTCCCGAAAGTGGTAGATTCGCATTCCTAGCTAGAGAGCTAGGTCGAATTCAGCCGCAGTCTGGAGGAGGCTCGCGAGGACGTCTCTCGACTCTCTGATCGATAGTTTTCCGTGGGTTCTCCCATCAATACCAGACCGAAGTAGCACCTTATGAAGCAACTCACGAACCGCGCGCAATCTTTCCTTCCTTATCCTTTTCCCTCTCCACTTACACATGCACAGTTACACGTACATTGACTACGCTACACTACCAAATACTTCATGAGACCAGTTGGGTCAGCGTAGAGGCTGAGGCGACTCCCATCACCGGAGATACCTGGAGAGGGAAAACTCCGAATAACATCTTGTAGGGCGGCGCCGGATCTCACGTTCCAGAAGAAGACCTACACCGCCACTTTTCATGCAAAACTCTTACGGGATTAATGATAGCAGTTAACGCACCCAGTAACACAAAATGGTCGAGTCGAAGACCATGTATAGAGTTTCAGCTGCATAATACTCTGAGTGCAAATGCTAACGCACTCGAGTTATGTTTATTTGGACCTGAAGATACATTGAAGTCTAGGTAACATTTTCAGGTTCATTGGGCTTATTTCGACAGATCTAAAAATCCATGAATAAATATCAAGAACAAGTCAATGAGACGGACGATTTTTTGAAATCCAGTGGCGAAGCATCTGTTATGCGATAGATGCAGCGATGACCAAGCAAGCTAACAAGAACAAATTTTAAATACTCATATTTATGAATTTTCAATGTATAAGAAATGAATAATTAGTCAATAACGTATGCAAACTGTAATAGAAAAGAAAGAGACGAGAAATTCTTATAAATCGAGAAAATCGCAAAGGAAGCATTAATTAGCGAACTGAATTGAGAGCTCATCACTACTGTAACCTGTCACTAGCTCAGAGGTTGCCCAGGCTGAGGCGGGTGGGAGATACCTGGTAGGGGAAACCCGCATGCTGAATCGCGCCATCCAGCGGGGGAAAATCACCGCCATCTCCCGCGATAAAAACATTAACTACACTTATGGGAGTAATGATCTTAGCAGTTGACGTGCCAGGAAACACGAGTCAGTCGTCGCCGCTCTAGGTGGCAACCGACAGTAGCGATTCTCATTCTGTTGCAGAGCAATTAGCACTCGCATTCGACGCTGGCTTCGAGGAAACGGCGATTTCCGACCGTGTCTGGCAAAACGCCCCATTAGAACTCGCCACAGTATGATCTTGTTTTGTGTTGCGTCTTAATTCGTTGAGTTTTTGTTTGTGTTAATATTGTTAATTATTTATCACACGAAGTGAAGAAAACTCAAGAAGGCATCGTGTTTCGACGCAAACAAAAAAAAATATGGCTCGCGTAAATTCCAAGAGAAGCTTTTGGTCGTGCAGAACGGCCCAACCAGCCTATCGTTATTAAATTCAACAACTACAGTTTCCAAAAGAAATAATGTTTATACCAGACACTTTATGGTTTCTAATTATGAGGTTTACAAGAGCCTCTGTGGAAGCAAAAGTGTCGAGCTCTTTTGAAAATGAAAATAAAAACAACAAAAGAAAACAGTAAAAATGTTGGGTTTTCTGCTGAATTTTGTAATATACGTGCCCTTCCAAAAGCAGCTACAGCTCACGAAAAATCAGTACATTTCATATTATATTGATTGCAATTCAATTAATTTTAGTTTTGCCTCAGCCCACAAATTAGTCTCCCCCTTACGTTCATGGATACAAAAACAAAAAACCAGAAGCTCCAATAATTCGAAAAATCTTGCAATGGCTATGCCAAAATGTCGAGGCTTGCCACTGTTGAAGTCGAAGAGGCTCAATAAGCTTAATCAACGATAATAAATCAATTCAAATAAACTGACTGGCATTGAGAATCACTTCATCTTTGGCCGCAAAATTTGCTGGATTGCTGGATCGTTCTCCTGCAAAACGAAAAGTTTTCAGAAATTCACTTTCCTTGTGCACTATGGACGTGGGCAATATGTTATGTTCAAAACAAATAGGCGCATTGCTTCCTATACTGTACTCATTTTGTTTACTACACGAATCCACCTCCCTTGTGTATTTCATTGCATAAAGTTCGTTGCGTAATGGAACTGACATACAACATGGATAGAGAATAGCTAAATATCGCTCATTAATCGAGATTCTTGCACAAAGGATTGTGTACTGCGTTCAGTCTCTTACCCTTCTCATTAGTGTTTGCAGGGCCGTAACAATAAATTAGCATAAAACGCCAATCTGAAAATAAACGTAGAGACGATTAAGCGTGTGCTGAATTTACGCACGCTTACTCAAAATACACCATATCACTAATGATATACATTTGCCTCTGTTGTTATTGTACAAATGATGAAAACAAAGAGAAATGCAGTTCATACAATTAAGAAAACCTCAACTCTTTCAAGAACTACGCAAGCTTCAGTTCTTACACTTTTTCCTGGATTTTCACTTCGCTTTGTGTACCGAATAAAAATAGATAAAAATGTATACAGATAAGAAGTGATATTTCCATAGAACGAAGTGTAATATGCATGCTCGAAGTCATCTTCAGGGCTGATGTGGTTCATAAAAACCCATTTGAAACTACATATCCTCCGTAGCATCGTGAACATTTCTAAGCTCTTACATCAGAGAATCATATTCGTCGTTAAAAATAAAATCGCAGAATGAAATATTGGTCAAAAGAAAGAAACGAATGCCTGGAAATTCGTCTTCCAGGAAATGAGACGCAGGCAGAGTCTTTTCATCTTGAGAAAGTTATTCTCATGTTTTAATGATGGCATAAATAGATCGCTTTCTCGGCACAATTATTTCTAAATATACATTTTGAAAGCGTTAATTCTAGAAATAAATTGCTACGTTTCTAAGCAGATAAAATCGTCTTACTGAACGAGATACATTGATTTCCACTGATGATTTCCCGAATGATTCATTTTTATTTTTTCTTTGTAAGTACATAAGACGAGAACGTATTGTAATCGTGCGCCGATAAACGGCGAATTTTCGACACAAATCGTATTGTACCCTCCACATAAAATATCGGCGTAGATATGTGCGTTTCGACACTTTTGCTTTGCCGCCATTGAACTAAATTCCGTTTATAAAAGTAACCCTTTGAGTATGGAGAGTTCATTCTGCGATTGCGTCATTTCAATAGAACTCCACCCGAGGAACGAAGACGTTCTAAAACCCACCATCGATCGTTCGATTTCATTCTTCATTTACATGTAAAGACAAGTATCTCAATCAAGCTGTTACGTCATTAATCGATTGTAGAAAGCGGTTTAGTCACAGATTTCTGGAATCACTCGCGCCCTCTGCCTTTTCCCTGACACCGTCACTGCCCAAGGCGCGTTTCTGTGGAATCGTCGCCCAGAGACAAACGGCACGAGAGTCACGATACTGATGCGAGTCGTCGAGATATCGATCCTACATGAGCCTCGGCTCCTTTAAACGCGAAGCGTATTACTGTTGCTAGGAGAGTGGAAACGCTCGAGATGCATCGCCAACGACCGCGGCATAAACGTTGTAAGGCATATTACTCCGCTGAGGAGCACCGGGGCGAAGGAGGTACGAACATCGGGGATGGGGGGAGGGGGGGGGCAAACGAAACGTGATCTCCATGGGGACGGGCGAGGCACGTCGGAAAGGGAAAGGAAGGTGGAAAGGCGATGGGAACGGACGAAAAGAGGGCCGGAAGTGGCTGGGTGGAGAAGTGTTGGAACGGACGGTGAGGAAGGGAATGTGTGCACTCTCACGTGTGTGTGTGTGGGGGGGGCGGGGGTATGAAAGAGAGAATTAAAATGGGGCAAGGGGGAACTACAGGTTGGGTTGGCCTGTCTCTATTACAAGAAGGGTACCAAAAGATTAAGGACTACCTGACAAGGACAGAGAGAGATAATTGCGGGATCATAGAATTTTGGAAGTTCATTTATTTGTTCATTAAGCTTTTATTAATAGTTAGATAGCATTTATCAGTGTACTTTTTGTATAATTAATATATTAAATTCTTCAAAACGTGTACCATGTTCCGTATTTCATTATGGCACGAACCTAAGGTTTGTAAACCTACATTTTCGTGTTACACTTTAATTTTCCATAATATGCACATAAGGAATAAAGAGCATTCCAAGGTTTCTGTGTAGTACATCTTACGTGATCAGCCCAGCTGAAGTCGCTTTGAATTATTATGCCCAGATATTTACAACTACGTACCTTAGGAATATTATTTCTACCTGTTGTACAGTGGAATGTTTCCTATGTTCGAGCCTTCGTAAACCTGTCGTATTTGGTTTGAGACAGAGAGAAAATGGAAAAGAATTTTCCAATTTCTTCTCTTCAACTATATTTTAATTGCGATATTAGAAGCAATAAATCCCAGTAAGAAATTTACAATTCGAGATGATATTATATTTGTAAAAATATGTACTTAGATGGCTCAGGCCCAACTGATGTCACCTCTGAACTGGGGTTTCCTATGGTTTGCGGACGGTGGCAGGATTTTCCACAATAAATAGCTCTGTCGAATTCAGCCGTTGTCTGAAGGAGAATTCTAGCGGCTGACTGCTCTTATCGGTAGTTTTCCGTGTTTTTTCCGATCAACACCAGGCGAATGCCGGAGCAGTACCCTAACAAACGGACTACGTACCGACCGCGGTCTTTCCTTCCTCTTCCTTGTCCTATCCGCACCCCATACACACACTAACATGCACTAACACATGCCGGAAGACCCGGCGGGAGCTTAGAGGTTTCCCCGGCTTGGGCGGTGCCCGGTAGTGGAAGATATCTGGTTGGGAAAACATTGCCACTTCCCACGATAAAAACATGCACTACACTTAATGTCCTCAGCTGTTGACGCGCCCGGAAACACTAATTAATCAGTAGCTTCGTTCGTTTAGCGGTAGCGATGACCAACATACAGACGGACATTTTGCCGCAACCAATTTTTCGGTATCAAGGACCCACGAAACTAGAATTCGGAGATATAACTTGTTATAGGGAGTCATTTGCTACATATAGAAATCGGATTTTTCATATTTTTTAATATCAGAGAGCCTTAACACAATTTTTTCTGCCGAAAAATCGCTGTTGATATCCGCAGTATTTCTATACTTTGTAAACTACTATAACTACTACTAGTATGTAAATTGCAAGCGAGATCATTTTCATACATATAGGTATTTAGTCTTTTAAACACTAATGTCTGCATTTAACAAAAAATGTTTCACGTCAAACAGTTCAGTCATAGTTTTGAACTTTATAGGATGGTAGTAAGAATATTTCATATTTTCTCAAGATTCTAAAACTATTTTTTATGGCTTGTCCGAATAGAATAAAGTGGCCTTATAAATACGGTAAAATTTCCATTTTCATTAGAAACCTCTCAACTGTGAAAGTTCAGCTTTTTCATAAAACGTACTCCTTACCCTCTCGTTTTCGCACTCTGAAGTTATACCGTCTCAATACTGAGCATTTCCCTCGACTTTCAAATGTCAGGAGTTGTCGGCACTGCGGCGAGGCAGGTATGAGGGAGAGGAGCCGGCAAAACATGTCCTTTAACTGCGTTTGTTCCGAGGCGCGTCATTCGATACGGTGCGGGTGGGGCCGCGAGGCAACGAGAGCGACGGTCGGCTGGCGGGGTGGGGGGGGGGGGGACGCGGATCAGTCATTTGACACCCGCGCCGCTCCTTGGCTGACGACGTCGCGCCTGCACTTCTCGCGAGTCTCTTTGGGGAGAAACACACAGGAGGCAGCGCGGCAAGAATAATTTCAAGTGTGGCTGTGAGCGCGAGCATATTCCAAGCGACGTGGCGCGATTTAGAACAGTCAAGTTTGACATTATTCCCCTCAGTGCAGTAGAAAGTTATGGAATGCTGCACGAAAAAACGGCGAATTTTTGGTAGAAAAACTCTTATTACAGGGCCCTGGTAACGAAAAAGTGTATAAATTCAGTAGCTAAATTTTGAAAAAAATATCTTATCACGTGGTGTAGCCAAAATTCATGTCGTTTCTAAAAAGTCTAAACGAATAAAAAACGACTGTCTCTCTCTGTCTGACTGAATAACGCTAGCAGCTAATCCGTTCAGCCGATTTTCTCCAAAATTGATATTTCTCAATCGATCTGATCGATGTTGCGGCCCTGGAATTTGAAATCGATACTTCAATTTTGCTAGGTATGTTACATGAAGCCCCTGTGTCATTTAACTTTTTTTTTAATTGCGACATCGTTTCAAAATAAATTTTGTTGTTTGATAGTGTGATGAACGTTTAAGAGAATGGTACATGTGTCATGTTCGTTGAAAAACCTAATTTTTCGAAAACTGCAAACGTTCAATTTTTTTCGGAGTCTTCCTGCAACAAAAATATTATTCGCGTAATTAACTTTGTTCCTTGGAGATAGATTTTGAAATAGGGTCACGTACAATTTTTTGAAAATTTTGAGTACTTTTCGCATAATTTTGCGTGAAAATACGGGAAAGAAATCACTTGCTGTTTTGGACCACTAGTTTCGCTCGAATTCGCGCGAACCTCCCCGGGATCTAAACTCGCCAGCGTTCGATCATTGATAGGAAACTTAATTACCAAAAAGATTTTCGAGCCGCCATTTTGGTAGAGTAAGTACAAACGCCATCTGAACAGGGTGTTATTAGCATGAAATGGAATGAAACTTCCCAGGCCATGGATATTTTTTATAGTAAAAGTGAGAGACATTTTTTTTCTTGTAACTTCACACGTTTACGAATTTTACATAATCTTATATATTTTATATTACATTTTCTATCCTAATTCTATTAATACAAACATGAAAAAGGGTTTCATTAGCTCGAATTATTATGTAAAGTATATAGTGATATTTACCATGCTCATTCATCCACTCTCCGGTTATGACTTAATGTCATTATGAAACCTTTCTCACTTCACTGCTCTTTTATGATTAGCCTACATAACTTTTTCCTTGAATGCGGGATTACTTTTTCTAGAAGGGTAAGGGTATTTCCTGGCGCTTCTAGGCTAGGAAAATTGTATGCCAACTCTGAATGAGTAAACTCCTTAGAGTACGATGCACCAGCATATTTAGCAGTATCTCTCGGTGCATCTAAATATGCACGTGGAGACGTAAATGTTATTCCGAGAGAGCTACTCGGTCGCTGCTGTGACGGGGCCGCAAATCCTCAAAGGTGGAACCACAAGTTCCTTCCTTTTTTCTGAGCTTCAACCACGGCTTTCTTAAGTGTAACGGAAATCCAAGAATAGTAATAATGATCTTTCTAAGAAAGGGAAATGAGTTCCTTTGGAAAAGTAAGTTCATGGATGCAAGTGTGAAATATCGTTATCTTCGTACTATAGAGGTACAGCTCAGCGAGTCACAAACCTCAAGATTTGCCGTCTTCAGAGGTCGTGGATAATTGTAGGGTCTAAAGAAGAAAATAGGGGCTAGAACGGAAAGGAAATAATTGCATCTGTTAGTTATTTGAGGTATCGCCAGCAAACAGCTTAAAAGAACTGTGAAAACAACGAATAGGAGCAACGATCGTAACCAGGTACAACCGGCTTAAAATAATCCAAGAATCGATTAGACCAAAAATCAAACAAAAATATAAACAATAACAGATGGTATAGTAAAATCTCACTATGTTTACCCCAAATTAAGTTACCAGCCATTACCACCAATTTGTTTTACTCTGAACACGAGAAACAAAATTTGTAAAGCAATTATATGGGTTCACTTTTAAGAAAGAATGAATTTCGTAAAATTTAAAAAGTAAATTTTAGCTCTTATAAATATTTAAAGTAGCGCCAAAAGTGAAAAATATTCGAATTCAAAAATCTCAATGTACTAAATCATTAGAACTAACGAAAAAATTATTCATTTTGGAAACTTCAATTTAATTTAGGAAATGTTATATCATGTGAATATTTGAATGAAATCCTTTACACATTAGTATTCAACTTCTCTGTGAAAAAGATTTCCTGAAAATTTAGTGGCGAATAATCACAGATGTCATGGGTAATTTTTCATTGCCCGCGGAACGACATTGATGGACTCCAATTAACTTTCGCGAAAGCAAAACACTTAAACCGCACATAATGAATCATCCCATATTACACACCACTATCTTAGCATCCAATCCTCGATAATAGTTGTATTCCGTCTACGCTAAAAGACCATTTCATACTAAGAATACAGGGCAATCTTCAAAGAAATGACAATGATTCACGAGAACATTTTAAAATAAGCAGGCGACGCCTTTTGTAGGGAGATCAAACCGCAAGAATAGTCGGTTAGTTAGGAAGTGGTTTTCCTGTCGACTATGCTACAATAATTTATCTGTGGTGGAATCTAGTTTCCTGAGGAACATAACACATTTTACAAACCTGCTCATTGAGCAATATTGGCATTTGTGTTTTATTTTTCATCGGTTGAAGAAAATGCTATTGAAAGAAAATGTTTTTTAATTACAATTAGTATGTCGTAGCTACTATTTTTTCTTTCATTCGGAAGCGATTGGCAAAATCTTACTTATTGTATTCTCACCATTTTTATTTTCTACGTCGTTAGGGAATCTAATGCCTTGTCTACAAAGATATCTAGTAATTTAATTTTGTTATTCCAGTCCAATTTTAAATCAATGGCTATTGTCTGCGCATGTTTTGTTATGTTTAGGAATCCTTCCCCCCTCTTTTCGCAAGCGTTGTTGAATTTTAGGAACTAGTGGTGAAACATCAGCACTTTCTCGAATTATTTCTAAATTTGCAATATTCGAAAATTCAAAGAGTTCAACGAAAATGAGACTCAAGCCATTATTTTAAGCGTCCCTTCTTCTACCCTCGGAAATTATAGGAGCGGTTTTGAGAAGAATGTTTTTTTTAATTGCTTTAATTTCAAGCACAAATTACTCAAAACTACTTTCACCGCAAAATTGTACATGATCTTCTACCTCCAATTTTGAAGTATTAGTTTGAATTTTGAACTTTTAGTTTTGAAATATTGACCCCTTTTTGAGTATACTTGCTCGGACATTCGCCTCCTGTTTATCAGATAAAACACGAAAAATTACCGATCACATCAGTTGGTCATTAGAATTATTCTCCAGGCAGCGGTTGAATTCGACCTAGCTGTTTATCTCGTATCGAAAAAACTGCCACCGTCTATACTCGAACATAGGACCTTCCTTGATGCACTGAGCCGCCTAAGTTGGTATGATTCCCTGTTTTGGCGAACCCTTTTAAAAGAAGGAGCGCCTACCAAGTCTTTCGATTCAGCCCGATTTGCCGAGGGGGTATTACCTATCGAATTATCCTCATCTATCGACTGAATCCCAACTAGCAATGGTATCCTATTCGTTATTCTCCCCACCCGCGGACTTCAGATGCCCTGTCCAGCCTGCGTCACGTACAGAAGAAAATCTCAGTAACGCAACGTGCTCCATTCCTGGAGGGACAAGAATGGAGAAAAAAGTGTGTTGCGTGTTATCTTGGCGATAGCAGACGTGACCTTGCGAACTGCAATCTATAAACGGAAACGTCAGTCAAAGATCAAGGCACGAAAGTTGTATGTTTCCCATGTGTGATAATTTAGTGCAAATTCTGTTATTGCGGCTTTTTCTACATCAAAAGAAGTTCCGAAAGAGGAAGTTATTTTTATCGTATTCGTATCCGCACTCCACCCACGTTATGTACTTTGTACGTTTGCTGCGACGTTGTACATCGTTATCTCTCTCAATGGGACCTCTCTAAGGCCGCTGCTGCGTACAACCTTCCTCTATTTACGTGAACACTTGGGGAATTTACGAAAACTGAAATGTTTGGTTTTCGTTCTGAGTTTTGAAGTAGAATTTCTTCGCCTTTTCGTGTCATAAAAATATATACGGGAAGTACAGGGAATGTCCAGGCTGCGCCAGCGACCAAAGTCCAATTTACGAATGGAAAAATTTAATCCCGTCTGTGGACATACATACTACATCATTTATTTAATACAGAATAGTTACATTTCTTATAATGAATACGCTCGTTAATACAGTATGTATTTTATGTTTATGAAAATGATTCAATATACAGAATAGGCTTTTACATATATTATTATATCCTTCGGATCGGATGCCTTTATTACAACGCATTCATTCCAATTGCTATCAACAACAAAAATAACTCTACTCTGTTCGACCATTGTTAACACTTTGGAGTTTGGCCTTGTGTTCCCGTCGCCTACTAGCTGCTTGATCGAGGCAGCTACAACCTCGGAAGGCAGCGCGGCGTTTCACAATGTAAAATCGCATGCACCTGTGTTTCCTTGAAGTGAGAGCGATAATCCGATTCGTCATTTCCCAACAAACTGTCTGAAAGAAGGTACATGTGTCAGTAATTATGCAGAGGGACTTTCCCTCTCCCAATTTACTTTCTCCCTTTTTCTGTTGTCAGCACTGATCTAAATGACTTACATTTTTAAACTCATCATTATGAGTAAAATAAAGTAGGTTTTATTAGGCATAAATGCATCTTTGTTTTAATTTGTAGTACTTCCTGAAGTATAAGGATGTAGAGATTTGTTTATGAGTGTAGATTATTAACGTACAATAATCAAGTTGTGAAACAATGAAGTATTTCTCAACATCGGCATCGAAATCTTCAGCTGCCCGAAAAGCAATATTTGCTCACATTATTTTATTATTAATATTTATTATCATTCATGCTTTAATACTACATCGTTTCCAGGTCATATAAACCTACTTTCTAGTCATCAGAGATACTTAGTGAAAGATGGCAAATTAAATGTCTTATAGGTCTAAAAACCTATTTTATTTTAGTAAAAAGTGCAGTCAATTTTTCCTTCGTGTGCAATACGTGCAACAGATATGACGCGAGAAAAAGGACAGTAAGTAAAGTATTCAGAAAAAAATACACAATAAATATAAATAACAGTTTATTGCTTTAACAGTATATAATTAGCACTAGTGGCTGCTGGTGCCTCAAAAGACTGGAGGTTATACCTCTACCGAATGACGTAAATGTAATTTCCAAAATTCAAAATACGAATAAATAATAAAAAAGTAACCAATTCAAATTAATTTAAACTAAGTTAAATAAAAGTGTACATTGAAACAACACTTACATAATTGTATGCGTCGTCTTCGTGTCAGGTATATTACACACATTACGTGGTTCTGGACTTTGAACCTCTTCCAACAATAACCTCCCCGTACCAACCCTCCCCCCTTCAACGTAGGCACTAGCTCTGTCCCTCAAGTAGAAGCTCATTATTATGGAGCTCGCAGACCCCTATAAACTCGGAGCAACGTCAACCAAGACTCGCCCCGAAGCTCACCGTTCCGGTGGCTCCCTCCTCGGGGCTGGCGGGCGCCGAAAGCGGGCGCTACCCTGCCGGGGAGGCGCCTATTTTGAACGTCCAAACACAGCTACTACAGAAAGCGCGAGAGACTTCACTGCATCCCATTCGCGCGAGAGACGATACTGCGGTTCTTCGGAAGAGATTTGAAAGCGTGTGCAGTTATCTGCGCCACCTCTCAGACACCGGGCCTTTTAATTACCTGCTCCATGTTGCCATTTCGGCCAGGCGCACAGTTTGCCATTCTCTGAGATTATTGCTCTATAAATAGTGCACCTAGTAGTGACGTTTTGAAGAATTAATGTAAGTACCGTTTCTTCCACAGTAAGAACCGCTTATAAACTAAAACTACACTAGGTTCACGACGTTTCTTAATAGTTAATAATGTGTTGATGTACAATCTCTATCGTTCGCAGATGATAAAAACTTTGTAATTACTCTCCTGGGCGGCCGTTCAACTACTTACTCTCGTGAGCATTCCTTGTGGAGGCCGAAAACTAATCAACTTGACTTGTCTTAGCATGTTAACATGATTTTTTACAATAATAAAATGTAAAACAACGAAAGATAATATTACAAACGATACTTTTACTAATGAAGAAAGGAACCTCACGAACCACGAAGAAGCAAGACCGGTTACACTTCTATCTTTATTGCTTGACAAAGTAGCAGTAGAATTAATGTAGAATATATTCAGCCAAAAAAGTTGAAAATTGTTACATTTATACCGTGAAGAAATGCAAATGCGATGTCTAAAGAAAATAAGCAAAAATGCTTCGACAGTGCTACTATATTTCCTTCTGCACCGTCCCTCGACAAGAATCGATTAATTTCACGCTGATTTAAATAACATTGACGGAAGTACGCCTGTTATTTCATTTTCTAATGCCTAGAACATCATAACCTTGACGCCACTTCCTACTAACTTACTCTGTTTCAAGGAGAGAAATCGTTGGCGCGCCTCGTCGTTTGAGTGCGAATGACATTCATTAGCCTTTATGAGCTGAAATCGGAGAGCGCTGCGGGCGCCGCCTCCTCCTGTGGTTCCGCTGCCAGGAAGCGCTTGTATCGATTGCTGGTCGAGGCGCGGCGCGGCGCGGCGCGGCGCTGCCGGCGACAGAACTGGCGGCGTCAATCAAGGCGGTGGCGCATTCGTGCGTTTGTTACCTCAAGGGAATTCACTGCAACAAATTACGCTTCTTAAAATACAACTAAGGACTTCCCTCCTCCTTTTCCTTCTTCTTCTTCTTCTTCTTCTTCTTCTCTACCTGTCTGCATTTCCTACGTGTATGCGTTTATGAGTGTACGAGTATATGTATATGTTGCTCGGTGTAAATAATGTAAAAAGTCTTCGGTGTTATATTAAGTTAGGATGCAAGACAAAGTAGATTTAGATTAGTTCGTAAGTACATAGTTTGTCAACTAAGACGTAAGTAATGATTGTAAATAGAATTTAAGAATAAATATGAAGATTTCTTCTTTATCTTCTTTTTCTGATTCTACTTCTTTTTCTTCTTCTTCTTCTATGTAGATGGAACCTGTTATTCTTCACACTTCATCTTCATGAAGAGGTGGAAGATGTCGTTGCCCAGCTTTCGATCCATCATTTCTTTGGTCTTCCTGGATCCCGCTCACCTGGGATTTGATTCTGTTGCTATTTTAACAATCCTACAGTTTAATCTGCGCAGGAAACGTGTTCTTCTCAGCCTTTTATTCTTGTTCGTGTGAATTTAACTCTGTCCGTCGTTCCCCACTCATTTCTTATAACTTGATTATTTATTCTATCCCATTTTGTTTTTCATGTTATGGCTCTCCAAGTAATCTCTGTTTCATAGGTGATAATCGGTCTTACTACGGTTATGTATATTTTTACTGTACTTTCTATTATTATTAAGAACTTATTTCTCCAGGTTACATCTTTTATGTACTCCGAAAGTTTATCTCCTTTAATTACTTGCTGTTTAACATTACTGTAAGTGCCCTTCGTGCTTGAAATTTCCACTCCTAAATATAAGGTTTTCATGTTGTATTATCTTATTATCCACCATCAATTTACGTCTTAGTGGATCTTTTGATTTTACCATTAATTTTATTATCTTAGTTGATATAATCATGAGGTATTGTTCTGCAGTTTTCTGTAGCGTGTGGAGAAGTCTTTGTAAATCTTCTGAATTCGCCATTAGTATTGCATCCTCAGTATATTGTGATTCTTTCATTTCCATTTCATATACTGGCGTGTCTTTAACGCAATTTATCATCTTATCCATAACCAGATTAGAATCCACATGACTGACAGAATCCCGTTGCCTAACACCAGCTACACAAATGATTTCTTCTGATACCATATTTCCGACTTCCTCCTTCGTGATGAAATATATTCAATATTCGTTCGTGTCTTCAATTATCGTTATGAATATTTCTGGAGTATTCTTCTCTCTCAGAATACTTAATACGTCTTGTGATCGCGATCGAACGCCTTCTTTAGATATATAAAGCACACGAAGGCTGGGACGTTAAATTCAATCGCCTTTTCGACTACTGGGAAGATCAAAACGTATCCATTGTTGATCGATTAGGTCGAAATCCTTGTTCATATTTATTTATCTGAAGAAATGGTTGTATTTCATCGTCTTCCATTTTTGAGAAAATCCTGTTGACGTTCTTTTGAAAAATTAGTTTGAAAAATTGATTTGACCCAAAACTATCTTAAAACTTCTCGTATTTGAAACACTTTTACCATTTAAAGATTTAATATTGAACAATGAATGTCATTAACAAAAGATACTGAGACATGATTAGTAAAGCTACAGAATCAGAGCAACCTGGCGGCCAAACCTCGGAGCAGTCGAGCTACGATTTCGATTTCTGCCAGCGCCGGAAACTCTTTGTGTTCATGGTGTAAAGAGATGGATAGGTTCCTCCAGTGCACCGATTTTTGCTCTGCACAGCACCAGTTGCGTCTTGAACTAGTAACCACGTGGCCACAAAACCGGCACTTCGTTTGAAAATCCAGACCAGTCGTTAGCCACCATGTTGCATGGAGAGCGAGAAGTTTCGACAAACATTTTGAAAGTGGCATAAAGTCACAATTTTCAAAAGTGACCAATGAAAAATAAGACGATAGAGGTGTAATTGATATAAAAGATGCAATAAAACAACTGTTTCGTGTATCTGTTTCAATGACATAAAAGTGATAATTTTGGCAGTTAAAATTCCCGCTAATATTGAGTCGCAAACTGGTGCCAGTCGCGCATTGGCTGAAGCCGGATACGACGCGCAATAGCCCACCCATCTCTTTCCATCATGTTGGTTGATGCTGAAATAAGGCAGATGACCGGTTCCTTGCGAGGAGCGAACCCGCGACGCCAGTATGCCCGAGTCGCAGCGTTGCCTTAACCCTTGCCTCCACCCGCGTTGGTAGAATAAATGTTTCTGACTCATGCAAACATTCCATTAGTTATGAAAGCATACATAATATGCGTAGAAATTGATGTAGAGAAACTAGCTTTATGAAACTTATGGATAAACTTTGTTATATCGATGGAGAAATCGGGAAATGCGGAGTTCAGATGTGCAAAATGCTCTAAGCACAAACAGCGAAGGCCGGTGTATAGCCTTTCATGACAAACGAACATTTTCAGCATTTGTCTCTTTCAAGTTCAACTCTCAGGGAAATGAAATACAGAGAAAGGGAACATTCTTTAGAAAAATCGAAGACTCTAAACCCGTGGAGGAAACGACTGGAAAAAGCTTGGTCACATTTACAATGAATGACAGAATTGATGTTTTTTCTCTTTACTTTGAAAATGCGGAAGGAACACACGAATCAGAAACCGACGTGAGGTGTAAATAGTAATAAAGGAGGCAAAAACTCCAGATACCATCGCAGAATGAATGTCAGTGCACTTTTGTGAATGCCAATGGAAGTGACATTCTATCAGAGAGGCAAAATATCTTCAGTAAGAAATAACGGACGAAAAAGGTTTCGAAAATATGCTAGGATGTTTAGAGCACTTTTAAGCTATAGTGTCAACAATGGCCTTTATCGCGACGTCCTACACACGACGCATCAATGTCAACAGCATACAAAGATAAAATCCGTTCGCGACTTTGGATAAGCTCGTTTGTTAGCTTCTTAAGGAAAAATAAATTAATACAGTCATACGCCAATATATTTTATCGTTATACCACTTAAGTTGACCTAATGGACTATGTACCTTTGGGCACCTGACGGCTTTAAGTTTAGAAACCTCTTAAAAAATATGTGCACAGTACATATTTCCTGAAAGCTGAGCATACATGACAATCTCCAAAATTCGTGACCATAGCTTCTGGAAAAAAATATTTTTCTTCTCCATTCCAAACCGTTGTGACGCAAATCATCCCCTCGCTGGCAGATGTACAGAATTACATTCAGCCACGTGGACACAACTCATTTCTTATTCAGTCCAGCCGCCCGCGTGATTCCATTATGTTTACTTACGTGTTGACGTCACGGTCGGCATTCACTTAGATGGGCTAAATCATGCTTCTGACTGCGACAGACGTCTTCGTTAGAAAGGGACGGCGGATGGCTTGTTGCTACGTTCGTCACAAGGAGAGATGAGAGCGGAGATGCCAACTCAGAGCCGGTCGGCGTCAGGAACCGTAGAGACAGATTTTTTTTTACTTTCTCTCTCTCCATTCAATGCACTTTGATTGCTCCTACGCTTCAACGAATACTCAAAATGAAACAGAAATGGATGCATTACTTTTATTATAAGTATTGCGGATGGGAATGTTGAATCGCAACATCACGTGCCGCCTTCTAAATATTCGCATCCCATATTCGTCTGAATGTAATGTAGATATTCGCCTGAATGTAATGAAGGAAGCTTGGCCCCTCAGTAAACTATTCTGACGGATCCCCCCTTTCTACTACGAATTGTATGGTATTTATTATGAATTATTTCGATCAAACGCGTAATAACGAGATAAATAATAATTCCATTACTCTTTATTATAATACTCAGCCTCACGTCTTCATGTCAATATGGCGGATCATCCTTCTTACTAATTGAGTATTTATTTTACTATTGACACCTAATTTCTATTCATTTATATATTCCAACCAATAATACAGTCCCTGTTCACCGAGGGTATAAGTCGTAAGAAAAAAAGTATTTAAGGGGCCGACGGACCATCCTCACGGAGTTGTGAAATTTATGTCTTTAATATTT